AATATGGAATACTTGGAGTTGGAGCCAAGGAACAAATGTGCCTGGTTGGAAGCAGACACTTCCTGAATTTCAAGCAGCTCCCCGGACGTGCTTTAGAATGTGTCAGTTTACAATTTTCAAGTCATGCGGCATATCATCATCTATTTGGCAGCCCATGTACAAGGTAGAGGCCTTGTATCTTCCATTAAAGGCTTATGTTTTAGGCTTACCTATACCTGCCCTTTTTCTCTGGTCAAGAAAGCATGTAAGTGGATGATTATTTTCTAAAAATCTCCCTCCTTACCACTTCTAATTTTTTTAAAAAATTGTGAATTTTGACTTTTCAAACTGTCAAATGATCTTACAATGGTCTGATTTTAGGTAGGTTTTTAGCTTCCATCTCTTTCCTCACTCTTAATAAAATTGCAGGGCATTTGAGAACAAAATCAAGATCCTCCTGATGTAAAAGTTGTTGCAGCCTGCACAGCGCATCAGGGAAAGGGTTCTTCCTAAAGCATCCTGAGTGACGACATCACTGGAGGATTGCAGAATTCAATCCCTGTGTTTTTCTAAAGTTAGAATTTTACATCCTTCCCCTAACCAAAAACAAATAAAGAACTTGTTGATCTTGGATTTCTATGACCTTAAAAAATTGAATAAAGAAAATAAAGCTCCCCAGGCTATAATCAGAGTCTTAATGTTTAAAAAAATATTCTTCTAGAAGTTATTTATTAGCCATTGTGAATTAATGGGCTAACATTTGGTTTGAGTAGGTCTGATCAGTATCTTAAATACTTTTTAGTAATTCTCAAATATTCTTTTCCTTCCCCATTCTTACCACTCAAACCTCCTGATCTTGAAGATATTCTCACCACGTTAATCAGTGACTTCAGCATCTGTCTGAAAGTTGTCCTCTTTCATGCCTCAGTCCTCTTCAGTGGCCCTGTTTTCTACATAGCCAACCCTTCTAAAACCATGACTTCATATTTTCTTGATGTTCTTATCTCTTGTTACTTTCATATCCACTGTAAGCTTTTCAAAACAAAAACTATTCTGAAGCTTGGGCCTTGAAGTCTGAAATTTTCTTTTATTGTAATCATTTCCCTACTATTTTAACTACCTCTGCTTATTCTTTGATTTTTTTTTTCTTTAATAGAGACAATCTTACTCTGTTGGCTGGGGTGGTCTTGAACTCCTGACCTCAAGCAATCCTCTGCCTTAGCCTCCGAAAGTGCTGGAATTACAAGTGTGAGCCACTGTGACTGGCCTGCATATTCTTATTGATGGAATTATTTCTGCCTATTGTGACGGTTGATGTTTTGTCTGCCCCTCATTACCTGATCTTTTAGATTTAATTTGTTTCCTTATCAGCCCTGATGCTATGTTTAGCCTTAACAAGGATGTCCTCACCAGTATCCCAAAATTCCTCAGTTCACGTCACCAACCTCATTTTTGTCTTTGTTTTGGATTGCTCCTTAACAAAAATTGCTAGAGAAAGTCAGGACGTTAACTCTGAGTAAACTCACACTTATTTTTGGCAGGACAGACCAATATTCTTAGTAAGGTCTGCAGGATGCTTTGTGAGCTGCTTGGTCTGGTGTTCCAAATTTCTCCTCTTAGACTTCTGTTCTAGCCACATTGGCCTTCTTTTCATTCCTCAAACATCTCTCTCTTCCCCTGGGTTAAGGGCCTTTGCTTAGAACAGTCTTTCCTTTATCTTCCCCTAGTTAACTCTTAACCAGTCATTAAGTGTCGGCTTAAATATCACTTCCTTAGGGAGACTGGTAGTTGAGATTAAGCCCCCACTTTCATCTCACCCCTCTGGCATATCCTAGACCATATACCTCTATCACAGTCACAATTTTACATTTATTTTTGTGATTATAGATTTGATGTCACTTGGATGAACACATGGACTATGACTGTTTCTGCTTTTCCTGGTGCCCTCAGTGACTGTACTGTATCCAATAAATGCCTTATGTGGAGTAAGCATAGGAGATACTTTAGAAGTGGCACTTTTATAAGTAGTAACTCCTGAAGCAAGTGATATTTTGACATCTTCAAATATTAGAAATGTTTTCTTTATATTGAAGTAAAATCTCTTTTCCTAACTCTGTTCCTTGGGGTCATTCAGATAAGTGGATTTCTGACATGTTGTCAAATACTCTAGCAGAGTAGAAATACCATTGCTTTGGTGTAAAATCTAGTTGTAGCTACCATATTTGGGAGGGCTTACTCAGTGCCTGGAGCTCTGCTCATCTGTAAAGTGGAAGTAATAATAATTGCTTTACCCAGTTCAGTTTAAAAAGCATCTGTTGAGTACCTAACTGTGTTCCATTTAGTGCATTAATGCCTGGGATAAAAGATGAGTAACACATATGCTATACTTAAGGAGTTTGTAGCTTGTTGGAGAAGTCCAAGAAAATATCCCAGGCAGCCTCTTACTGAGAAATTGACTTGATTTTCCCCATTCTCATAGTAATAAACACTCAGGAATGTGTTAGGATTCAGATTCTTTCCAGCTACTAGCCCAAAGTGAGCAGACAGGCATTAGCCAGGGCTTCCAGAATAGCTGTGACCCAGAAATGTGTCAAGAATCTCTGACGATGGGGTATGTGGATGAACTTGGAACAATCTCAAGTTGTATCATTGGCCACTGGTACTTCGCTGGGGACTCATGGTCGTGGAAACCTGCCTGCCTCACCCTCCCCCACCTAGGACTGCACCATTTCTCCTATTCTGTATAGCCATCTGTGCGCTGATACCTTTCCCCTTTTACATGAATAGACTAAATTTTATCTTTGCCTGTATCTGATAGTGTCTCTCCATCATTCCCTTCATCCTTTTATCAACCACATCAGGAGACGCACATGTGTGTTGATCATTTTTATGAGGTAAGCATTAGGAGAGGGAACTGCAGTGGGAGTATAACTTGGTAATCTTTTTTGTAAATTGGTGTGTTACCTACTCAAGTTGAAGATTTGAAGATGTGCATTCCTATGACTCTGCATTTCCACACTTAGCTATATACCCGACAGAAGTGTGTCCATATGTTCACTGAAAGGCATACTAGGATGTTTGTAGCAGCACTATTCCTTGCAGCCAGAAAGCAGAAACTGCCCAAATGCCAATTAACAGTAGATTTGATAATCAACTGTGTTGTATTCATACACTGCAATACTACACAGCAATGAGAATGCACACACTTTACAGTAAAAACCTACAATATGGAAGACCGTCGCTTGCATAAGATGCAAGACTAGACAAAATAAATCTAGGTGTTAAAGGGCAGGATAGTGACTACCCTTGTCAGGACTAGTTATTAGAAGAGAGAGCTCAGGATGGGACTTGATGGGTGCTGATAATGTTCTGTTTCTTGATCTGGGATAGTTTGTGAAAATTCACTGAGCTTTACATTTCTGACGTGTGCACTTACTTGTGTGTAATTTCCTCTTTTAATGTAGAGTTTAAAAAGAGTTCATTCTATTTTGTCCACTTATTGAACTAAAAACAGCTTGGATTGTGAGAATGAAACATGGAAAATTACCATGTAGGTAAAGGCACTGTCCTGTTACGCATTTCAAATTGGCACTTGGTTTGAAAAGCAATCATCACGCTAGTAGGGGGTGTCTTTGAACTGATGTTCCACAGATGATAATACTCATCTTGTAATTGCCCAACTCTTGGATGAACTGACTTGGAATCTATTTTCCTATTTTACTCTTGTTATACTTGTTATTTTTCTTTTAACATGGATTTGATAATCTTAAATAGGAAATGTTTCACTTTTTATTATGTAAATTACTCTTAAAAAAGGATAGGTTAGCCACAGGATTGTTATTGCTGCAGAAGATTGCTGGCTCTTCCTTGAAAATCCTGTAAAATGAGGCAATGGGAATGAGTAAGCTTTTAAATGTAAGAGTTACATTTTTAACTTTAAAGTTGTTGCATTGTTGCATTTTTCAGGACATGGAATATTTAAAAGGTCCATGTAACATTAGGACAATTCCAGATATTGAAGATGGCTTTAAAAAACATGCAATGATTTTTTCTTTTTATCACACATTTCCTTGATCATTGATCTACGGTAGTTTAAAAAAAATCTTGTCCTAATAACCATCAACAGCCTTCACAGGATACTGGATTACACAGTGGTATGAACATGAACTCCAAACCACAGTCATAGAGAGGTTCTTTATACATAGGCCAGGAGTTAGTTCTTGGCAAGAGAGGCCCTTGTTCTGGGTCCTTTTCTTGTTCACCTCTGGCCCTTATCCCTATCTAGGGGATAAGGTTTTCACAGGGCTAAGGAATTGTGGTTTCTACTTCTAGAACCATGTCCCAGATAGGAGGGGTCATGGAATTCCCAGCCCAGCCCTGAGCTGCTTCTAGAGCCTGCACTGCTGTTCCCAGTCTGTCCTCCTGCACTCAGATGTCACTGATCTGTGGGCTTCTAGGTCCGAAGGATGAATAAGGAGCAGCTATTTCCCTCGGGGTGGATAGGCGTTGACTGAGCTTGGATGTTTTTTCTGGGAAGGCCGCAGGCCTGTGTTCATGGGCCCTTGAACATAGAGATAGGAGTAGGAAGAGAATGTTGGGAAGCACACTGATGGGTTATTTGGGGGTCAGGGCTTGACTCTCACTATACCACCACCTCCTGTTGAGAAACTCCAGAGACTTGGAGAATTCTTCAGTATTTTGATCTGACCTTCGAAGACATGTAGTTATATTTGCTAAGGTGTGAGGATAGAAGGCATTTTATTTAAGTTTGCCAGGTTGATTTGTGACATGTATGTATTCTGCACATGATATATGGACCTCCATGTGTAGTCTTGTCCTGGACCTTCTGAATGTTAAAAAAGAGTCTGCCTGGACATAAACAACTCATGAACTAAAGGAGAAACACCTTCAAAATCCATATTCAATGGTGAATTTTCACAACAAGTATCTAACTTCCTTTACTAATATAGAGCAATTTTAATGATTCTAAAATGTACACCTATGTTGATCTGATCAATTAGGTTGCAATCTTTGACGGCTGAATTTGGCACAACTAACTGACTCACTGTGTGCATAATCAGCCCTGTTGACCTGACTGGAGAATGGCAGATAGGACGCTTTGGACAAACAGAGCCAGCTACTGAAAACAGATCTTCATTTGGGTAAGATTACACAAAGCCCTTTTCAATTTAGAGCTAGAATTATCTGTCACTCATAGATTTCCTGTCACTCATGTAATCATGATTTAGCAATACAGGTATATGAATGCCTACTTTGCATTAGGCACTGGAATCCAATGATGAAGAGAACCTCTGGCCTCAAAATGCTCTCAGTCTGATGGGGGAGGCTATCTCATGAACAGCAAGTTAATTGCTGTGGCAAAGACGGATCCACCAGGCCAGGAGTGCACGCACTGATGGCTGTGTGCTCTGTGCTTCAGAATGTTATGTTCTAGCATCATTCACAAGACTGAGGACACAACATCAAAACTCTATGCCAACAACTTGTTACGGCAGCAGCCTTATTTAAAAATCTACATTCTGTCTCTTTGTTTGGAAACCTCTTTTTCCACATCAATTAGGCCTTTAATTTGAATCTTATTCTCTATTTCAACAAAAGTACATAATGTTGGGTAAATGTCTCCCTTTCTCCACTAATTTCACCTTGTGGTTAAGATACTCCAATAGTCAGAACAAGCCCATTGCTTTAAAAGGATACTTTTTGGCTTATCAGTGCTTAAATTAATTTCTTTATCTGGAATAGTAACATAGCATGTCCTACCTAATACAAATGTGCCTTGCCAAGATAAGCAACTGGGTGATGGGTAAATTCAGGTGTACGAAAAATCCATTATATATTCCTGTAATTTAGGGCTCTCAGAATGTTATACCCATGATGGTTGACACATTTTTTCCTTAATTGTTCCCATTGTTTCTATAGAGAAGGAGTGAATGGGCTTGCTTTTCATGAATCTGAGTGCTTGCTATTCTAAGTTGTGATAGTTTTCCGGTAAGGGCTCATGTCCTCTGAAGAGAGGACCACTAATTTGAGATGAGTGCATTTGTGTTTGAAAAGAATTAAATTGGAGGATGGTGGATTACATTTTTTATCCACTTTGACTGTTTTGAGAATACTGAGTATACACATCCTGCTATTCCAGAGGAAGCTGTGACACAGTTATGAAGGAGGGTAGCAAGACAACCAGCTCGCCACACCTACCACCCTCTCAATTGCAAGAAATGATTGCCCATAACTATTTGACTTAATCCAAAATTGTTTTCAGGGTAAAATGCAACAAAGTTCAATAATCACTTGTGCCTTGAGTTTTAACAAAAATGTATGGATTTGGGCTGGATGATTATCCAATTGATTTGGATGAGGAGTTCCTTGAGGAGAAATAGATATTTAGAATCATACTGTGTGTACCAAGCTGAATCCTGCTATTTTCACATAACATTTATAATCAGTATCTCTCCATCCCATTAAAACCTTTTTAAAATAGTCATGGATGTGTCATTATTTGATCACTCTGTAATTGATAATTGTTGGACACAGAAATTGTTTGCAATTCTAAAATATTTTCTACGGCTTTCTTTGTAGATTTGTCTGCATCTTTTATTTTTTTCTTTAAGATAGCTTCTTAAAGGAGAAATTGCTGGTTCAAAAAACATGGTGTTTTACTGTATGTCCTCACTTACAAGTGGGAGCTAAACGTTGAGTGCACATGGACACAAAGAAGGGAACAGACACTGGGGCCTGCTTGAGAGTAAAGAGTGGGAGGAGGGTGAGGCTAGAAAAACTACCTATTGGGTACCATGCTTATTACCTGGGTGATGAAATAATCTGTACACCAATCCCCTATGACATGCAATTTACCTATATAACAAACCTGCACATATACCCCCAAACCTAAAATAAAAGTTAAAAAACAAAAACAAACAAAATATATGGTATTTTAAAGATATATGTTACTAGAATGTTCTCAGTAATCATGCCAATTATGTTGCTACCACAGATCACCTGAGGTCAGGAGTCTGAGATCAGCCTGATCAACATGCAGAAATCCATCTCTACTAAAATAATACAAAATTAGCCAGGTGTGGTGGCGCCTGCCTGTAATCCCAGCTACTTGGGAGGCTGCGGTGGGAGAATCACTTAAACCTGGGAGGTGGAGGGGGTGTTATCATTAAAATTATTTTCACTATTTTGATAGGTAAAGATATTTTGTCATTTGATTTTATATTTCTGAGGTTACCAATAAGGTTGCATGGGTTTTTATGTTTGTTAATTTCTGTGGTCCATTTTGTGACTTGTTTCTGTTCATGTTCTTGTCTCTCTTTTTTGTTTCAGTCCTGTTTTTTTTTTTAAATCAATTTTTGTAAGTTCTTCAAATATTATATATTGGGCACCATTTTGATAGTGTTTCCTTTTAAAAGCCAGTTTTATTGAGGATAATTTACATGCAATGAAATATATTTGTCTTAAGTGTACAGTACAATGAATTTGACAATTGTATGCACTCATGTAACTATCACCATAATCAAGATACAGATTTTGTTTACTCCAGAAAGTTCCCTCTTACACCTTTACAGTGAACTCATTGTACACCCAGTCTCAGATAACCTGGGATCTTATATCTGTCATTATAGCTTAGTTTTGTCTGTTATAGAGTCAGAAAGTATATTTTATTTTGAATTGGCTTCCTTTGCTCAGCATAATGTTTCTGAGATTCACCCATGCTGTAGTATATACCAGAAGTCTGTTCCTTTTTATTGCTGAGTAGTATTCCATTGTATGGATATACCACAATTTGTTTATCCATGCACTTACTGGTGGGCATTTGAGTTGTTTCCAGTTTTGAGTTATCACAAATGAAGCTACTATGAGTAAATCTTTGTGTGGACATATATTTACTTTTCTTTAAGGTAAATGCCAAGGAATGAAGTCACAAGGCCATGTGGTAAGTGTGTGTTTATCTTTATAAGAAACTACCAAACTGTTTTTCAGTATATGAACCATGTTACGCTCCCATCAGCAATGTTTGAAGGTTTCAGTTGTGCTTCATCTTTTCCCACACTTGTTATTTCCAGAATTTTAGTTATTTTAGTGAGTGCGTAGCGTATCTCATTCTGGTTTTAATTTAATGCATTTCTCTGAAGACTAATGATTTTGATCTTCTCATGTGCTTATTGGCCTTGTGGCATTTACTTTAGCAATTCTTGATTCAATTTTATTTTTGATATGCTTAAAATTTCTTTAAAGTGAGTGTTACAAATACATGCTAAAATTTTAAGTAATATGGAAAAGTCTATGCTAAAAAATATATTAATCCCCTCCAAACTTGTCTTAGTTTTCTCAGTTCTTTTTTTTCTAATGGCAACCATGATCACAAGTTTATATGATGCCCTTTGTTTTGTGAATATTTTTAATACTAATACTTATAGACTTTATCATATTTTATAAATACACAAGTGATACTTTTTAACCTTTTACTTGGATATAACATATAGAAAAATGCACATATCCTGAGTGCACAGCTTGAGAAAATTTTACAAACTGAACACAGCTGTATAACCAGCATCCAGAGAGAACATCACCAGCACCATGCATTCCATTCCAGTCATTGTTCATCACTTCCCCAAGGGTAGCTATCATCTTGATTTTAACAGTATGGATTATTTTAACATTTTTATACTTTATATAGATAGAGTTACTGCATATACTCTTTGGCGTCTGGCTTCTTTTGCTCAACACTTTGTTTGTGTGACTCATTCATATTGTTGAGTGCATTTGTAGATTGTTCATTCCTATTGCCATTTTGTATTGCAATGGAAGGATATATGACTACCTATTTATTAATTTTATTGCTGGTGGATATCTACCTCTTACTAAAGATGTTTTGCACGTATTCTATTGCATGTCTTTTGGTGAACATCGTGTGCACTGTATACAGTTGGATATGTATCTAGCAGTAGAATTTCGGGTCATAGGTAATATATATGACATAGGTGTACTAACTCCCACCCACAGAGTTCTGGTTGCTTCTACATCTTCAACAATCCCAATGTATTTTCTCTTCTTAGTATTTTGTGAGTGTTCTAGCTCATTCTCTTTTTTAAGTTTCTCATGAGCGTTTTCTAATTGTGATTTTAATTTGCATTACTCTGTGACTAATGATATTGAGAACCTCGTCGCGTGCTCACAGGCCAGGTGGATAGCCTCATTTGTGAAGTGGCTGTTCAAGTCTTCTGCCAATTTTGTCTACTGGATTGTCTGACTTTTATTTATTAACTTGTAGCTCTTTAACTCTGAATATGAGTCTTGTGTCATGAGTTATATGAATATCTCAGTCTGGGTTGGTTTTCACTCTTAATGGTATTTTGTTCATGAATAGAAAGTCTCAATTTTTATATACTCTGATACATACTTTCTTTTATGCTTTAGTGCTTTTTCTCTCTTCTTTAAGAAGTCTTTTTCTCTTAGTTTACAATGATCTACACTTCTTCTCAAAATATTTAGATCTGCTATTTTTCTTCTTTTCAAATTTTGAATTAACATTTTGTTGACTTCCAAAAATAATTAAGAAGGGTTCATTATTTTTCTATTCTTCGGAAGAAGTTTTGCTAAATTGATGTTTTTCTCCTTAAATGTTTGGAAAAATTCACTGGTAAAACTGTTTGGGCCTAGGTTTTATGTGAGTGTGAGAAAGTTAAAATAATGGATTCACTTTTTTTGACGAATATCACATTATTCAGATTTTCTCTTTCTTCTGACAGTTTTAATGAATTGTATTTTTGGAGAAATTTTTCTCTCTTCCAAATTCTCAAATTTCGTGTCCTGAAGGTTTTGAACATTGTCATCTATATATTTTTCATGTCTGTAGGATCTATAATGCTGCTCCTTTTTCATTCCTGATATCAATAATTTGTATTTTTACATTTTTTTTCCTGGATAAATCTTAGGGTTTTTTTCATGTATATATATTTATTATTATACTTTAAGTTCTAGGGTACATGTGCACAATGTGCAGGTTTGTTACGTAGATATATGCATGCCATGGTGGTTTGCTGCACCCATCAACTCGTCATTTACATTAGGTATTTCTCCTAACACTATCTCTCCCCTAGCCCCCCACTCCCCAACAGGACCCGGTGTGTGATGTTTCCCTCCCTGTTTCCATGTGTTCCCATTGTTCAACTCCTACTTATGAGTGAGAACATGCAGTGTTTGGTTTTCTGTCCTTGTGATATTTTGCTGAGAATGGTGGTTTCCAGCTTCATCCATGTCCCTGCAAAGGACATAAACTCATCCTTTTTTATGGTTGCATAGTATTCCACGGTGTATACGTGCCACATTTTCCTTATCCAGTCTGTCATTGATGGACATTTGGGTTGGTTCCAAGTCTTTGCTACTGTAAATAGTGCTGCAATAAACATACGTGTGCATGTGTCTTTATAGTAGAATGATTTATAATCCTTTGGGTATATACCCAGTAATAGGATTTGGAATTCTTTTCTGTGTGAATTGGAGTGACCATATATAGACTCCATGGGAGTGGATTATACAGAATCTAATAATAGTTGAAGAGGCTTTTGTTAGACAAAAGCAGCCCTCTATGGCTTTGAGAGCATTTAACATGTACAAAAGTTTTTTATAGTCAGTCACATGGATCATTTGAGGGTCCTAGTGATCTACTCTGTTCAGGACAGCAAGGTGATATTCAACAAACATGCTTTTAAATATTTGCATTTGAATCCCCAAATCAGTTGTAAATATATATTATGAACTGAGCTGGCTTGACATTTATTTATGTGAACAAGATTTGAGTTGACCACAGCTAATTGAACCCAATGGGATAGTGATCCCTCCAGTCTATCCCTCACCAAATAGGAATGTGTGGGAGCTAGAAATAATGTCATATGAAGAACAGTAATAAAAATGGAATGGCTCTAAAGGGCTTCATTGGCATCTGAGAATTATCCTGTGTTTTCCCAGAAAGCCAAATAACATGAGTAAGTACCAGTTAGAGTGAAGCTAATTTTGACTCTTTGCGGTAATTACAGCTAACATTTATTGATACTTGCTATGTGCCAACCCTGTGCTAAACATTCTAGATAGTTTATTTCCTTAAATTTTAATAATAACCCTATTTATCTAAATACAGTTTATAGATAAGTTAGGAGACTGAGGCTTTAAGAGGTACCAGGATTTTGGAGTCAGGACATTTGGTTTAATTCCCAGCTCTCTCCCCTCCTGGCATTCTATACTTGAACAATGTATACGTTTTCAGGTTTCTCTACTCTCATTTATAAAATAGAGATAGAAATTTCTACCCTTCACCATTATTGTGGATATTAGAGAGAATTCATATAAAGCATTTGTCATTCAATAAATAGTTATCATTATTATTCAACCTTATTTGGCACGACTTGTACTGTATGGTCAGGGACGACCATCACAGGCCTGATTGTTATGATTTGGTGGCAGCTGACTAAGGACGAAGAAATCTGACTTTTAGTTAGGCTTTTGGCTAAACTGAGTCACGTGTGAGGTTTTACTAGGTTTTCATCAGATCCCTAAATGAATAGGAAGGGTCATTTTTGATTTGCGAAACTGATTAAAAAATCAATCTAGTTACTTTGAAAGATATCCTTATTTTCCTCAAGGAGAGGGTATACTTGTTATCTGTAACTAGGGGGTTTGTCCTCTCAGAAAAGGAGCCGTTAGTCTACGGATTTCACACCTTAAAACGGCCCTTTGAGTCAGGAAGTTGTTTAAAAATGCACATTGTTTTGGTCACTTTAGGAACAATGGAAATTTAATGTGTCCCTTAGGCTAGATTCTAAAACTCTCATGACTTCTTTAAAATCTTCTGTGCACAGACAGGGGCCAGGACTCCTACTTTCTAGTTGTAAATGAGGAACTTCCTAATTATCCCAGTGGAAAGAAGTTGCTAAAGGATAATTGTACAGTTTATACCACTGTATTTATCTTTTAAAATGAGTAAGTGCAGATACATTAGATAACTTTTCTTACACACTATATACCTATATAAAATAACTGAAAAATTGCTGGCATTTATGCCAAGGTTGATGGATTTCATGTACATGTATACATTATGTAATGATCAAATGAAGGGAATCAGCATATCTATCACCTCAAACATTTATCATTTATTTGTGGTGAGAACATTCAAAATCCTCTCTTCCAGCTATATAGAAACATACAAAACATTATTGTTAACTCTAGTCATGGTGCAATGGGATACCAGAACTTATTCTATCTAGCTGTAGCTTTGTATCCATTGACCAATCAATCTCTCCCCACTTCCCCCTTCTTTCTACCTTTCCCAATCTATGGTATCCACTGCTCTGTTTCTGTAAGATCATTTTGTTTTAGGTTCTGCATGTGGCTGAAATCCTGCAGTATTTGTCTGTGCCTAGCTTATTTCACTTAACATACTGTCTTCCAGGTTCATCCATGTTGTTGTGAATGAGAGGATTTCATTCTTTTTTATGACTGATTAGTATTCCATTGTGTATATATATGCTAAATTTTCTTTATTCATCTGTTGATGAATGGTTATGCTGATTTTATATCTTGACTATTGTGACAAGTGGTACAATAAACATGGGAGTGCAGATGTCTCTTCAAAATACTAATATCATTTCCTTTAGATATATACGCAGTAGTGAGATTGGTGGATCATATGATATTTCAATTTTTAACTTTTTGAGGAACCTCTATACTGTTTTCCATATTGGTTGTACTAATTTATATTCTTGCAGACAGTGTATAAGTGTTCCCTTTTCTCCACATGCTTGCCAACACTTGTTATCCTTTGTCTTTTTGATAATAGCCATTCTAACTAGAGTAAGATGATATCTCATTGGGGTTTTGATTTGCAATTCCCTAATGATTAGTGATGTTGAGCATTTTTTCATATACCAGGTTGGCCATCTGTATGTCTTCTTTTTTTTTCTTGAGAAATATTTATTAGGGTCTTTTGCTCATTTTAAAAGTTGGATTTTTTTTTGCTGTTGAGTTTTTTGAGTTCCTTATGTAGTGTGGCTATTAATCCAAGGGATATATTTCTTTTGAAGAAATTATTTTTCCATAGAGTATTTCTGACTCTTGGGCTAAAAATCAATTGAGAAATTTTTAAATAAAAGAAAGCAATTTTATTGAGTTTTCAAAAAAGAGATTAAAAGGCTCAACTCACTTGCTTTAAGAAAAACCAGATATTAGCTAAAGCTTTATTAACACAAATATATAAATAATTACATTTAATATTCTGGTGAAATAGGAAACAAAAAAAGAAAATCGAATGGAGGAGTAGGAATAACAAAATGGAGACAGCAGCAGAAGACAGAGAGAGGTGGACAAGAGAACACCCTCAAGATAAAGAGACCAGGGCACAGAAAGGGAAGAGGCAAAGAGACAAGTACATGAGGAAACATGTCAGACTTGGAGGTGGGTACGTGCATGACTTGGTAATTATTGAGCTCCATCATGAGCAAACATTTTTGTCTGGGGAACAATCATTATAGCTGGAATAATTAAATTGTATTTCAGGGAGAGGAAGTGCTAAATACCTCCAGACTTGTAATTTAGGGCCTGAGTATCCAAGCTAGCACCATTGATGAATTTATAAGTCATTAAAAAGATGAAAATAAACTCAGTCCTAAAGCCTGGCCTATACCCAATGGATGGTCCCACTGGAGTTGGAAAGAGTGTTACCGGAACAAAGTCAGAGTTCCACTAGAATGAAAAAAGCAAGCAGTGGACACTGGTGAGCAATTCACAGTGTTCACTACAAATAACTACAATGGGCAGAGGGCTGGGTCTCACACCAGAGGAAAAGAGAAACATGATTTATTCTGTAAGTTTGGAGACAGAGACAAGTAAATACTTAAGCATAGTAAAATGTCACCAATGTCAAATAGAAGTGCAAACCATGAGCAGCCCTTTTTTGGGTGGGGGGTGAGGCTTGGAGGGGTAGGGGAGTTAGTTTTCCTGGTTGTCTTGCAGAGTCCTTTTCCATGACTTATACTCCTTGCTGCTCAGTGACTCTTAGGGAGGAGACCAATGAGATGACCATGGTGAGGGTATTTAACCTTCCTTGTCTTGGATGCTGCCTCCCTTGGAGGGCTGTCCCACACAGACACTCCTCTGTTCCCTAATTCTTTTTTCCCCTTTTTATTTTCTCTTTAACTTATTCCCTGTAGGTGTCCTCTGTGCCCTTTTGTTGTCCTGATTCTATCTTGGGATGTTTCATGAATTTCTCTTCCATCCTCTCATATATGTGAATCTCAGTCCACATATTCTCTCCATTAATTTTGTTGATTTCTCTGCTTCCATTGTCTGATGGATGCCAGACTTTTTCTTCCACTTTGCTCTATCGGCCTTGCTGAGCAAAGAGGTGAGGAGGATCATATAAATGGGTCAGCATTGAGGACAGGAGGGAAATCATAAGGGAGTTTTACTCGGTTTGGCAGCTGCTTCCTCCCAGAGCCTGATTATTGATACCTCTTCATCAGATATTTGATATTTTCTTCCACATTTAAATAAGAAATTCATTTTCAATATTGATTATTAATATTTTCATATTAATTAAAATATTTGAAACATTTCTTCCTAATATTTCTCAGGAATGACCTGGCTTTATGATGTTAAGGCAGCATTTACCTGCCTTTCTTCTCTGGCTTATAATATAAAGTACCTGCCCATCAGCTCTTAATGAATGCATCACACCCAAATTACTTCTTTCCAATCCCTAGGCTTAGTGCATGACCAGTGACAGAAGGATAGGAGTGGGAACTAGAAAGAATGACCTGCCATGCGGTGATATAGGACATTCCTAGGAAGGAGGAAGCATCTGGACTGGCCTTTAAAAAATGAGATATGTAGTTAACAAAAAAATGTGGGGATGAGGAGTTCTGGGGATGAGGGAACAGCTGGATCTGAAACGTGGAGGCGTAAAAGTGTATATTCTGTGTAGGAAAAGTTATCCTTGAAAGACTGAAGTGAGTGTTACAAGTTGGTGATTGTATCCTTAAATCTTTTCTTTATCCTGGTATAAAATACTTCCTTGTGAAAATATTCTTAATTAAGTCTAGTAGGGCAGGGATCTCCCAATCTTATTTTTAATTCTTGACTTGATTCTGTAGTTAGGAGCAACAAATGAAATTGGGTTTAATTGCGTTAGTTCTTTCAGTTTAAAAATAGAGGTAAGTGATGACACCATGTCGTGAATCAGCACCTCAGAGTGGAGATGGGGGTTGCTGGATGGGACTACAAAATAATTTTTGCTGGGAAGAATTATGGCTAATAAAGGATATTTGGTTTTAGTTATGTATTAATTCTTCATGTGCCAAATTAAAGTTCTAGGCTAAGAAATTAATTTCATATCCCGGTGATTTCCCCAAAGTATCCATCATTATATGGTAATTCTCTTAAAGCCTAGCAATATAAAACTACAAGTCAACCTAATTCCACATATTAAAATCTGATTGTGTTTCTTTGCTGTCTTTTATTGCTTCTCATCCTTCTTTCTCTCTTGCTTATCTCATATTTTACTGCTAAATGAAAGGAAAGGAAGTAATAGATACCTCGCCCTTATATTTCGTGGAAAGGTCAATTAAAATGCCTGTGGAAAATTTGTTACAACCCTTAATTAGGTTTGGAGACAGCTACAAATGTGTTCCTTTGGCCTGCCTTTTAGTGATAATAGAATATTTGAAAGGAATGTATCTGGAAGAAAAGGGAACACTGCCTTAGCTCAGCATAGTTCCTTGGTTCCATGTTTTGTGCCTGCAGCATCTCACTGGGGAAAGAGGCCAAAAATGATGTGAAGCCTGTGGACGCTTGTGGTCAACCAAAGACCAGTCAGTATTGCCTTAATGTTCTCTGAGATCTTCAAAGGAACTTTTGTCAAATTATAACAGGCAACATTACTTACTCCCTTGACCTTCTTGAAAAAATGTGTTTATATCCTAGCTTTACATTAAAGATCTAAGTCATCAAATATAGTTGGAGGAAATCTTAGACATCATTTAGTCCAGATCATGTGACAAGCTTAGTGAGTTGGAGGGAAACTCAGATTTTATTTTGCATAATGAATTTAGAAAAAAAAAACTCAACAGAAGTCAGGAAATAGAATCATAGATATAAGAATAGTGCTCTCAGTGTAAAGCACAGCTCTTCTCCAAAGAGGCTTCGATCTGAAAAGGCCAAAAAGAACAGTGAGAAGACCTGGAGCCAGAGGAAGTCTAAAATCACTAAAGTTTTTCAATTAAATTTCAGTTTTAATTTAGTTCATAGCTTCAGGGGTGTCAGGTTAGGTATCTGATATCCTAATATGGATGGCTCCAAGGGATGACCGGGAGAAAATGGTGACCACAGTAAATGCCACAAGGGTAACAATGAGTCTTCAGAAATATTTTTCTTTCCTATTAATCCATTTCACTACTGAAATTCAAGAATGCTCAATTTCTTTTTATCATTAAAAAGATAAGCATATTCACTTGTGCCTTATTCATTGTATTTGTTTATTTCCCCCCAAACTGGCTGTAAAACAAATTTCAGGTTATGAAATTATTTTCACCATGATTGGCACATTGGGAGGGCAATATTCTCTCTGGGAAATTGTTTGGTCTCAACATTAAATGCAAAACAAAGCAAAAACTAAACATATAATATTCTATTGCCTTTTGGAATCACGGACTACATCGAACTAAAATCATATAAAACGTTAATGACCTCAAGTCTCCAAATGCAAATACGCGCCAGAAATTTTATTCTTTTGGGATTAAATTTATTGAAGGAAATGCACCTCCAAATGACCCTGCCTGGATTCAGTCTTAGTGACAGAACAGTATGAAGGGATGTTGCTGTGTAACAAATTGCTATAAACTTAGAAGCTGAAAACAACACTGATTCGTTATCTCACTGTTTTGTGGGTCAGAACTGGGGATGGGCTCTTCTGCTCAGGGTGTCACATGACTGAGATCAATGTGTCCATGGGCTGAGCTCTGGGGAAGAATTTGCTTCTAAGCTCATTCAGGTTGTTGGCAGGAACTGGTTCCTTGTGGCTGCAGGTCTGAGGTCCTCATTTCCTGGCTGGCTGTCAGCCATGGCTGCTTGCTGTTCCTAGGGACTACCTGCATTCCTTCTCACGTGGTCCTCTCCGTCTTCAAAGTCATAACGGTGCATCAAGTCGGTCTCACTCTCAGACTTTCAAAATTCCTTTCTGCCATCATCTGGAGAAAACGCTTTACTTTTAAAGGGCTGATATGATTAGATTGGGCCCACCAGATTAATCTCCCTTTTGCCATGTAAGGTAATATAATGACAGGAGTGATATTTAATTGTATTCATGAGTTCTACCTACACTAAAATGGAAGGAGATTAAGCAAGAATGAGGGTCATTGGAGGCCATTCTTGTAATTCTGCCTACCACAGGAGTAAGCTTGGATCTCTATAAACCCAATAAATGTTTTTTCTGAAAACCCCAAGGGTATAAGCTAAAAATAAAACAGTATTAGTTTCTGTATTATTTCTGGAGCTAAGGCATTTTCAGAAGATCTATACTTTAAAAAGTTTTAAACTTGTAAATTTGTAGTCCAAATTAATTTTTAGTTTAATATATATTGCTTTCTGATTATGAATAGCCTGTAGTCATATATGTATGTATGTATGTATTTATGCATAAATACTTAGGATTTGTTGTTTGCTAGGATTTGTTTATGTATATATATGCATAAATACTTAGGAACAACATATAATACTTAGTAACTCAATAGCTACTGCTAATGCTTTGGGCATGTTATCTTTCAGTGCTTTTTTCTATGCACATGTATTATGTTTAATTTTTAGTCATACTTGTAGTCATACTATATTTTTGCATTCCCAGTTTTCAGTTTTAAATATTTTAAAAATTGATACATAATATTTGTACATATTTGCAAGATACAAGTGATATTTTGTTGCATGCATACAATACGTAATGATCAAGTCAAGGTATTTAGGATATCCAGCACTAGTTTTCATTGTTTTACAACTATTTCTCTTACCATTTAACACATTACACACATGTACTATTAGTAGTTGCCTACTAAATGCTGCCTGTTATTCTGTTTATGTTTCCTTCCTTCTTTCTTTCCTTCCTTCCTTCCTTTCTTCCTTCCTTCCTTCCTTCCTTCCTTCCTTCCTTCCTTCCTTCCTTCCTTCCTTCCTTCTTTTGAGACAGGGTCTCGCTCTGTCAACTAGGTTAGAGTGCAGTGGTGTGATCTTGGCTCACTGCAACCTCTGCCTCCCAGATTCAAGCAATTCTCCAGCCTCAGTCTCCCAAGTAACTGGAACTACAGGTACGTACCACCACACCTGGATAATTTTCATAATTTTAGTAGAGATGGGGTTTCACCATGTTTCCCAGGCCGGTCTTGAACTTCTGGGCTCAAACAATCTGCTTGCCTTGGCCTCCCAAAGTACTGGGATTACAGGCATGAGCCACTGCACCTGGCCATGGCTTTTTCTTCATGAAGCTTACATAAAACATATTATAGTTATAACATTGTGTTTTAAACTGATAAGAATGTAACTACAATTGCATTAAAAGACTCAATACTCTTACTTCTCCCTTCTTCACATTTTATGTGATTGATATCACACTTTAAATATATATCTATTTATTTATTATTATTATTATTTTTTGAGATGGAGTTTCGCTCTTGTTGCCCAAGCTGGAGTGCAATGGTGTGAGCTTGGCTCACTGCAACCTCTGCCTCCTGGGTTCAAGTGATTCTCCTGCCTCAGCCTCCCAAGTAGGTGGGATTACAGGCATGCACCACCATGCCCAGCTAATTTTTTATATTTTCGGTAGAAATGGGGTTTTACCATGTTAGCCAGGCTGGTCTCGAGCTCCTGACCTCAGGTAATCCACCTACCTCGGCCTCCCAAAGTGCTAGGATTACAAGTGTGAGCTACCATGCTGGGCCTAAATATTTTTATATTGAATATCCATTAACAAATTATTATAGCTATAGTTATTTTTAATACTTTTGTCCTCTAACTTTTAATCTAGAGTTAACAAGTGATATAGACACTAGCATTAGAGTATTCTGGACTTAACTATATATTTACCCTTACCAGTGAGTTTTATCTTTTCATGTGTTTATCCTTTTTATGTTGTTAATATGATGGTTAACACTGAGGGTCAAGTTGATTGGATTGAAGGATACAAAGTATTGATTCTGGATGTGTCTGTGAGCGTGTTGCCAAAAGAGATTAACATTTGAGTCAGTGGGCTGGGGAAGGCAGACCTACCCTTAATCTGGTGGGCACAATCTAATCAGCTGCCAGGAAATATAAAACAGGTAGAAAAACATGAAAAGGAGAGATGGGCCTAGCCTCCCAGTCTACGTCTTTCTCCCGTGCTGACACTTCCTGCCCTTGAACACCAGACTCCAAATTCTTCAGTTTTGGGACTCCGACTGGCTCTCCTTGCTCCTCAGTTTGGAGATAGCCTATTTTGGGACCTTGTGATCATGTAAATTAATACTTAATAAACTCTCCTTTATATATATATTTATATATATATGTCAATGTCTCATATATAAAAATGTCTCCTATTAGTTCTGTCCCTCTAGGAGAACCCTGACTAATACAGTTACTTAGCATCTTTCCATGTTATGTGAAGGCATCTCTTCAGCATTTCTTGTGATGACGAACTCCCTTAGCTTTTGTTTGTTTGGGAATGTCTTGATCTCTCTTTCATTTCTGATGAACAGCTTTGCTGGTAGTATTCTTGGTTGGATTTTTATTCTCTTTCAGAACTTTGAATATATCATCTCACTCCTTCCTGGCCCACAAGATTTGTGCTGAGAAGTCTCCTGATCTCCTTATGGTGATTATCTTATATATGATGAGTGTCTTTTCTCTTACTGCCTTCAAGAGTCTCACTTTGTCTTTGACTTCTGACAATCTAATTATGTGTTTTGGTGTATTTTTCTTTGTGTTGATCTTACTTGAGATCTTTTGAGTTTCATTAATCAGAATATTCATATCGCTCCTGAGATTTCAGAAGTTCTAAGCCATTATTTCTTTAAATAAGTTTTCGGCTCCATTTTCTGTCTCTCTTCTTTTGAAATTCCCATAATTAGTATATTTGTTTGATGATGTCCCAATTTGTCCCTTATGATTTCTTTACTAATTTTTATTTTTTTGTTTCGTTTCTCTAATCAACTAATTTTTAATGATCTGACTTTGCTTTCTCTATTCTTTCTTCTGCAAAATTGAGCTTGCTCTTGAAGTTCTTTATTGTATTTTTTAGTTTTCTTATTGTATACTTCAGCACTAGGATTTCTGTTTGGTTCTTATTTATGGTTTCTATTTCGTTCTTAAAATTTTTATTTTGTTCATGCATTGTTTTCCTGGTATTGTTTAATTATATGTGTTCGCTTGCATCTCATCGAGCTACTTTAAGATAATTATTTTAAATTGCTTGTCAGGCAATTTATAGATCTCAATTTCTTTGGGGTTGGAGCTTTATTTGTTTCCTTTGGTGATGTATGTTTGCCTGATTCTTTGTCATTCATGAAGCCTCGTGTTGGTGTCTGTGTATCTGAAGTATCAAACATATTTTTCAGTCTTTGCAGAGCGGTTTTGGCAGGTAAAGATCTTCTTCTGTTAAACATCTAGGCTGTTGCGATTGTCTCTGGGATCACAGTTGATTGAGTGGGGTTGGAGCTGAGTCACATGGCTATTGCAGGATTGCCACTGGACCAAAGCAGAATGAGGCTAGAGCCAAGTTACAGGGCTGTTTCAGGATTGGTTGTGGGACCAAGGTTGGCAAGCCTGTTTATTGGACCTCAGATGAGTGTGAGTTCAATCAGGTTCTTGAGTGGGCATGAATGCGCTTAGACTACAGCTGAGAGGGGCTGGAGCCAAGTTACCAGTTCGTTTCAGGATCTACTGTGGGACCAAGGTTGGCAAGCCTGTCTCCTGGGGCATGACTAGGTATGACCTCTAGAAGGTCCCTCGCTGAGTAGACCTGCTTTTAGGCTGTAGCTGAGAGGGACTGGAAATTAGTTATAGGGCTCTCTCAGGGTCTGCATGGGACTGAGGTTGGCAAGTCACAGACCAGCCTGACTAGGTGGTGGGTCCCAAGGAAGGCACAACTGCTTGCAGACCACAGCTAAGAAGAGCTGGAGCCAAGTTACAAGGCAATTTCATGGTCTGCTGCTGGGCTTTTGGGCCTATCATTTGAGACTCATGTGGGTGTGACCTCTCTCAGATCCCTTGGCAGATGGTTCTAGTGGCAGGACCAAGGCAAATGAAGTTGTATCTGATCCAAGGAGATGAGGCTGTTTTTTCACATCTGTAGCCTGCATTATTGTTAGTGACACTGCCATATGAGTGCAAGCCTGTTCCGAAGACAGCCTTCTTAGGTCTTGGACTCCACCAGGGTTCTTGGTCTCCAACCAAGGCTCTCACAATGGCACTTTGTCTACAGATGGCTGTCACATTCTTGTTATTGTAGGGGGACAGGGGATACAAGCAGAGGACCTTCTATTCCATCATCTTGCTGACATTCCTATTAATCTCTTTAATATGTGCACTTCTTGACATAGAGTAATACTAACTTATCATAAAATTGAAAAAACCACTGCATTTTAAAGATTTATACACCTAAATTATTATTTTTATAACAGTAAATTTTTGTGTAATGTGTTTAAGTAGATGTATACAACTGCTTTGTCAATCACTTATCTGTATAGAGGGAGGAAATTCCCAAGTGAAGATTGAAACTTTCTTCTTTCAAGTTTTAAATTATGGTTTTCTTTAGGATGTTATGGTTAAAAATTTAGTCAGTCTTTGATCTCTCCTTGGATGAAACAGATTCATCCAATAATAGCACATTGAACTATGTGGTTTAGTGTAATCTCTGCTTCTACTGCAAACAGAAGAGAAATAAAGGATCTCTAGGCACAAAATTAGTTGCTCTGCATCAGGTTGCATTGCCATTTAAGGTAAATTTGTCTTTCATTATGATTGTATTCTCCATTATTTGAAAACTTGAGGCATGTTTATTTTTAGTATTGCGAGTTTCTGTTGTCAAGCTGACCACCATTATTTGTTATTTGTTGAATCTTAACCTCAAACAAAGGCATTGCCTCTTTTTGGGGGAAAAAGACTGACTTCTTATCATATAGATAGGCTTTCATTTTTATTTTCAAAACATCTCTATGCTCCACATTTAATTTTGAAAATACTATAAAGATATGGCTCATGTTACTGATTATTTCATTAAATTGTTAAATGTAAATGTTCAAAATTTGGCAGTTTAAACATTGTGAATCCTAAAACTGATTCAGAAAATTTCATAGAATCACAATTTTGACTGGGCTACCTAATCTTATCAATTCAATTTCACTTCATGTTCTTAATCTACCTAATTATATTCCCAATCCTTAATATAGATTTCCAATTAAAAAGAGGGAGAATGTTTTGTTTCTTTTATATTTATCCCCTAATTGCTTTTAGGCACTGCAAAGGTTCAGTTTTGTCCAGGTGGTTGTTTTGAAGCATACTGTGCTTTCAGAATCTCTTGAAATATTTACAGATGATGAATCTGCAGCCAAAACACTCAATAAACAGCACCTGCAGAAGTTAGACTTTGTCTAAATTTGGAAGTCAGAACTGAGGACTGGTGATTTGGATAGTTCTAGGGAATATGACTTTGGAAGAGGATTTCAGAAATTTGAAGTAAAAGCCTGCATCATGTTTACAACCTAACTGCTAGAGTTCTTCTTATATAATGTATTTTGTCATTTTGTTAGAGTTACTTTTTTTGAAATTTAACATGTCACGTTCCCAATCTTTTTGGCAACTAAGAGATTTAGTAAATATTACAAATTTGCAAAACTGTAGCTTGAAGTTAACTCGGGGCTGAAAGTAAGGATCTCTTGTACTCGTTACCTGGCAAGATTGGGCCTTGCCTGTTCTAATCTCATCCTCCATCCAGGTGTGCTGGTAAGTATTTAACAATCGCCTCACCAAAAATAGGTAAATAAAAACAAAAAGCCTGATTTGTAGCATTTGCTGAGTTCCATGTAAATATGTCCTCTGACTGATTTCAAGGTATCAAAGATTTAACTGCTGGCTTTCACAATTTCTAAAAATTTAGTAATTGGCTCTCATGAGCCCATATAAACCTGCCACAGCAGGTGAATTTATATTATCACCTGTCTCAGGAATCCATAATTCAAGAATTTTCATCTTTAT